CATGTACAACTATTTTAGATGATCTTTTTTGCTGTTACACATTTTTTCCAATGCTAGTGAAATTCAGAGGATTGGGCATTACAAAAGTAATGTTGGAGAACTTGACAATTTGCCTGGGCTGAGATGTGTTGATAATTCAGGTGGATTAATATAGTAAAAAAAAACATATTGAAGAGACTACTTTGTTGGTAGATGTTTAAAAGACAATTCTAGACATTGTTTGCATTTTGTAAAAGGACTCCCAATTACATGTATTAGAATAACTTCGATGTGACTGTTTCGTATTGTTTCATTCATCGCCATGGTGACTGACTTGTTACCATGGTAACAAGTGTGTTGTGTACTAACCTGTATGATTTTATACTGTATGGAGGCTGAGGCCAGAGGGTTGACATATTTCTGATAGTTTGATAGATTTCTTGTCCACAACAATCTTATATATGGGTGGCTGTCTTCAGCTGGGAATATGTTACAATCATTTGTGAATTTTTTTCCATTACCAAAATTGATTTTTTTCTGAACATTCTCTGTCCTTGGGACTACTACAGAACTGGATCTGGCTTACACAGTTAATTTTTCTACAGTGCTGACAAAACTTTTCACGTGCATGTTGGTGGCATTTTAGATGTTCATTGGCATGTATTGCCCAAGTTGAAAAAGCTGGAAAATCTTCTTTTATAATTAAATGTGTACATTTCTTTGTTTTATTTACAGTGATAAAAATTTTAAAGATAAAAATGTAACAAAAGTATCAAGGATAATGATTTTTAGTAAGAGTTCCTTCATCTGACAGATATTTTGGGTGAGGTTAAAGTTGTGAGGCCACAGAAAATTAATTTTTAGATTTAAAGCAAATTATTTATTAGAAAATGATGCAGTTCATCTGCAGGTAAAGTGGACTATCTGCTCAGATATCATGAAAAATAACTATTTTGAAGACTATGTCAGTGATTTTGAGTGAACGTTTTTGTTTTCCAACTTGATACAGAGGCCAATTTAGATAATCAAAAATTTGAAATTAATTTACTGTGGTCTTGCATAGCTTTCTAAGGTTTGGGAGGGGGACAGCATTGCACATTTAATTATTCCAGCTTTTTCTTCTCCGTCAAATGCTGAAAATACTATAATTGTTGATTTTAGCATATTTTGTTTATATATATACATATATATTATATATATTTATCATTTAAAGAATCTAGACTTTTTACTCTGTCATTAAATAAAATGTGAGATCTGTTAATGTGTAGCATTATTAATGACAACTAAGATGGGATTAATAATTGTAAACATATATAAAGGAATATACTTTGTACCTCTTCTGATGAATTGCTAACTGGTCTCTTATTGAGGGGGAATGATGAAGGGGTCCACTCTCCCCCAACAAATTTTGTCATTCTTAATCAGAATTGGTATGATTCTATGGCATTTTTTAGCTCACGTGAGCTGAAAGCTCAAGTGAGCTTTTCTGATCACCCATTGTCCGTACGTCTGTAAACTTTTCACATTTTCATCATCTTATCAAGAACCACGGGGCCAATTTTAACCAAAGTTGGTACGAAGCATCCTTGGGTGAGGGGGAGTTTAAATTAAATTGAAGGGCCAAGTCCCCTTACAAGGGGAGATAATCAAGAAAAGACAAAAATAGGTTGGGGTCATTAAAAAATCTCAAGAACCAGTCGGCCAGAAAAGCTGAAACTTATGTGGAGGCATCCTTGAGTAGTGTAGATTCTAAAATTTTCAAATCATGACCCCCGTGGGTAGGGCGGGGCCACACTAGGGAATCAAAGTTTTACATTGAAATATATAGGAAAAATCTTTAAAAATCTTTATCTCAAGAACCAGTGGGCCAGAAAAGCTGAAACTTACCTTGGGTAGTGTAGATTCTAAATTGTTCAAATCATGTCCTCGGTGTAGAGTGGGGCCACAAAACGGGATCTTATTTTACATTGAAATATATAGAAAAAAATCATCTCCTCAAGAACCACTAGGCCAGAAAAGCTGAAACTTATGTGGAAGCAACATGGGTTAGTGAAGATTCTAAATTGCTCAAATCGTGGCCTCCGGAGGTAGGGCGGGGCCACAATATAGAATCAAATTTTTACATTGAAATATATAGGAAAAATCTTAGAAAATCTTCTTCTTAAGAACACGTGGGCCAGAAAAGCTGAAACTTACGTGGAAGCCTCCTGGGATAGTGTAGATTCTAAATTGTTGAAGTCCACTCCTCTGGGCTTGGGTGGGGCCACAATAGGTATTACAATTGGGAAAATCTGGTGAAGAACAGCAGGGTCAAAGTTACTCAGGTGAGCATTGTGGCCCATGGGTCTCTTGTTCAACAATTGTCCATTGGTTACCACTTAAATACTTGTATAATTGCTTCTCAGAGTCACATAGTTGTGTCTCTAAGAATGGATAAAGACACTAGAGTTGTATGATTACTGTACAAAAACCAGGGCAAAGGCAGTATTCCCAAGATTTATTATTGCCATACACTCAGATGTTACCATCCAAAAAATAAATAACCAGTTACCAATAAAGTACCATAAGTTCAATAAATCATTGGTGAAAAATAGGGGAAGCCCACATAACACACCTATGATGTACTGATAGAGCCATTTGCTTCCTCTTTTCCTCACCATGACCATGCTTAAGGCAAGGGAATGTGAACTTAAGGTCAGACGATACATTCCTCAAATATCTGTTTGTATTGTGTGGAAAATATTCAAAATTTTAATTACCTTCTGATTTCTAAACTGGTTTCTAATTGTCTTTAAAAAATTGAAAACAACAAAAAATGTGTTATTGGCTAATTATTTTCCAAAAGGATTTTATAGGAAAAACATCCTCTGGTATCTTGCACAAATGCCTGGTAAGGTACCTCACTTTTTTGCGAGTAAACATGTTAAAGTAGCAATACTTCAATGACAAAATCTTGGAAAAAATTATATGTTATTGAGGAATGTATCATCTGTCCTTAAGGGCAACGACTTAAGAATGTTGGGGCAACAAAGCAAAAGAGAGAAAATACAAGCATGACAGGAGGGTGCAAGGGCAGTAAGTGAGGGAGTCCGAAGTAAGAGGTGCAAAGGTGAGATGGTACAAGGGAGCAAGGGTGATGAATGGAGAATGCAAATAAAACTTTTGGTTAAGTCCAGTGTTTTTTAAGTCACAAGAGTCACTTGGATGACATATTGCTATCTGTTTTTGTCCATTTTCTGTCGCAAACATTTTCAGCTTCTAGATCTCTTGAATCAGTTTTGGTATTAAACATTTATGGCCAAAAGGGGAGGGGGGGGGGGGGGGGGGGGGAGTTAAACGATTATTATTGGAGTTGTATCAAAATAACATTTTTAGCTCTTCTGAGCCGAAGGCTCAAAGAGCTAATGCTATGGCTATTTGTGAGGTGTGCATCAACTTTTTGGAATATGGACCATAACTAAAGAACCCCTGACCAATTTTTGTCAAAATTGTCACAGAGTATCTTTGGCCCAAGGGCTCTCATTTGTACTAAAAACAGGGATGTGACCCTTAAACAAGGGGAGATAATTAGGAAAATAAAAATAAAAGTACTGGTTGCTAAAAATTTTCTGATGAAGAACCAATGGGCAGATTATCACCAAACTTACACATAAGGATGAGGATAGGTTGTAGATTAAAAATACTTCAAGGCATCACCATGGGGCAAGGGGCGTGGTCTCAAGGTCACTTCAAAGTTGACCATAAATTCTGTTTTGTTAAAACTGATATCTTGCTTAATATAAGGACTATGATCATCAAATCTTCTCAGTTGATGCATCTTAGGACCTCGTATCATATTGACTCAAAAGTAGGCCACAGTGACCTACTTTTTGAATTTTGCAGGCATTCATTTTCAAATTATTTTAGAGGCATATTTTGGACACTTTAAGTCCTAAGATTATCAAACTTTGTCAGTTAATGCATCATAAGTCCTCAGAATATGTCAACTGAAAAGTAGGTCATCATGACCTACTTTTGAAATTTTATGGCTATGTTTAAATATTTTCAGGTACTAATGGGCTTAGAATCGTTAAACTTTGTCAGTTGGTGCATCTTGAGTCTTCAAAGTAGGTCAACTGAAAAGAAGGTCACCATTACCTTCTTTTGAAATTCTACGGCTATATTTAAATATTCAGGTACTAATGGGCTTAGAATCATCAAACTTTGTCAGTTGATGCATCTTGAGTCCTCGGAGTATGTCAACTGTAAAGTAGGTCACCATGAACTACTTTTTAAATTTTATGGCTTTATTTAAATATTTCAGGTACTCATTGGCTTATAATTATCAAACTTTGTCACTTGATTCATCTTGAGTCCTCCAAGTATGTCAACTGAAAATTAGGTCACCATGAACTACTTTTGAAATTTTATGGCTATATTTTAATATTTTTTCAAGTATTAATTGGCTTAGAATCATCAAACTTTGTCAGTTGATGCATCTTGGGTCCTTGAAGTACATCAAATGAAAAGTTGGTCAGTGTGACCTACTTTTATAATCTTATGGCTATATTTAAATATTTTAGATACTAATTGGCTTTGAATCATCAAATTTTGTCTGTTGATGCATCTGGGGTCTTCAAAAAATGTTTGATATTCAAGGCAATATCTAAATATTTCAAATAATAAGAGACTTAAACTCATCAAACTTTGTCAGTTGAGGCATTTTTGGGTTTCAGAGTATATTTGCCAAAAGTAGGTTACCATGACCTCTTTTGGAATCTCATGGCTATATATGAATATTTAAGATAATAAGGGGCTTAGAATCATCAAACTTTGTTAGTTGAATCATTCATACATCTTGGGTTCTCACAGTCTTTTAACTAAAATGTGGGTCATGATGACCTACTTTTGGAATTTCAAGACTTTATCTAAATATACAGTATACTGAGAGGCTTCAAATAGAAGTGATAGGTTGTACAATTAATGAGGAGCAATTCAAGGCTTTTGGGCCTCTTGTATATTTCTTCTACCTGGAAAAAAACATTTGTGTGGGGGGGGGGGGGGTCAGATATTGAGTTTTGGGCCAAAATTTAACTCCCAAAAATCTAACTTATAGGATTCTTCTCTGCTCCTGGGTATTTAGCAAAGTAAGTGAACGGTTATGATGAGCAAGGGTGTCTCTTCAAAAATAATGAAATTCATGGCTCTTGGGTCAGGGTTTCTGGTGTTAGGTTGGGGCTCTAAGATCATATAATGAAAATGCATTTATTCTTTGAAAATCTTTGCTCGTGGGAATTTAACAGACAAACTTATTGCTTGGTTATGATCAGCAAGGGTGCCTCTTCAAAAATTGTGAAATTCATAGCCCCTGGGTCAGGGTTCTGGTGTAGGTTGGGGGTCTATTAATAGATCATAAAGTGAAAATGCATTTATTTTTTTAAAATTTCTGCTCCTGGGAATTAAGCAGACAAACTAAGTGCATGGTTATGATGAAGAAGGGTGCCTTCTAAGTTTGTAAAATTTATAGCCCTTGGGTCAGGGGTTTTGGTCTATCAATCAAAGTAAAAATGCATTTATTCTTTAAAAATCTTCTCTGCTCCTTGGTATTGAGAAGACAAACTAAGTACATAGTTATAATAAACAAGGGTGCCTTTTAAAAAAAAGGTGTCAATTATGGCCCTTTGGTCATGGTTCTGGTTTTAGGGCGGGGCTCTGTTGATTTCATAGTGAAAATTCATTAATTCTTTGAAAGTCTTCTCTACTCCTGAGAATTAAGCAGAAAAAAATAAGTGCATGTTGATGATAAGCAAGGGTGCCTCTTCCAAAATTGTGAAATTCATGGCCCCTTTGTCACAGGTTCTGGTGTTGGGATGGTGCTCTATTGATTATATACTGAAAATGCACAAATCCTTTGAAAATTGTGTCTGGCCCTGGGCATCTAGATGGACAGTTCAACGATGAGGAGGGGTGTTTTTGCCATATTTGTGAAATTTTTTACCATTGGGCAGGGCTCTGTTGATCATGTAGGGAAATTTGTTCTCTACTTTGCAATTAGTTATTCCCCTTTGTTATTCAACTATGATGTTAAAAATCACTGAACATAATTGATAGGTCAATTGAATAAAAGAATTTTATAAGATTTTTTTATGTATAATACAGGAAGTACTTTTATAGTTTTTATTGGTTAGGTAGATGCATCAACTTACAAGGTTTGATGATTCTAAACCTCTCAGTATCTGAAATAATGACCTTAAATGTTTTGAAAAAGATTAGCCATAAAAT